AAAAACCTTATCGAAAACCAGTTATAAAATTATATCTTCTACACCTTTATTGCTAGAGTCTCCAAATTTTTTATATATGCTTATATGCAATTTATACAATTTCGGTTTTTGTTAAAATTTACCCCCCACCTCTAAATTCACCCCCTCACCCTCACTTTTGTAAAACGCGTATTTCAAATACTAGAGACTTGTGCTTTGGCAATTACATGCATATTCATGTTATAATCATAATCTGAAAGTTTCATGAAGATCGTACGTCCACAAAAAAAGTTATTAAACAATTAAGTTCTCATAGTAAGCGCACACTGCAGCCCATGCGTGTTTATGCGTGGGTGCTTGTGTGTGTATGTGTTTGTGTATGTGTGTGTGTTTCTTGTGTAAGCTGAAAGACGCGAAAAATTATTGAAATAGCTAGCACTCCAAGGGTTCAGGGGATCTCGTAGTCGAGCAGTCTCGACTAGAGCTTTCTTACTTGTTTCTTTTGTTTTTTTCGTTTTACTGTTGTTATTGTGGTCTAGAACTGTTCCAGCTCCCGGCCTGGACCCAGTCTCATTCATAAATACAAATGCATATGAGTATGGGTGTGTGTGTACGTATTTCACAACCTGAATTGAAATAAACCTCACGCCACTTGCCGCCATGTCAACGATCTTCTCTGTTTCTTAAAAGTACCTGGGCAGAGGGCAGCGAGGCCAACTACATCTACTGCTGAATCTTTCTTTTTTTTTTTTTTTTGCTTTTTTCTGTTTTGTTAATATTTTTTTATTTTCGTCTCTTTTTTTGGCAGCCAAAATAAAACTGGTTCTCATTCTATTAGATATCATCGGCATCGTCTTCATATTCATCTTCGGCTTCAGCGGCGCTCGAACTCTTGTGTGTGTCTAGACGAGTTTGGTCCTTGGCAACAGAGTTGAAAAGGAAAGCCAGCCAAGTCTGCTTTGATCGTGTGAGCGTGTGGGTTACTTTGGCGATTRTTGTTGGTGTTGTTGTGTGGCAGGCGTGTTCCATGAACCAGAGGGCGAAAGTGGTACGTCACGTCTGCATCTGACTTTGACCAGGGAATAACAACAACAACAACAACAACAACAGCAACAAGAACATCAGCAATTTGCCATCCTTCTTTACCGGTCTGTTAAAGAATCTTCGCATTCTTCGTTTCACGCTAAGAGTTCATCCAACTCTGTGCCTAGGGGATATTCGCATTTCTAATGAGCAACAGGCCGTAAACGAAGAGATAAAAACTTTCTGATGCTCTTTCATGTTCCGAGATATTTACTACAATAGAGCCGCAGACACATGAGTAATCTGATTTCAATGTCACATCTGAATGAATATGATGACAAGAATGCCCATTTAAGGTGATCAAAAACTTAGTTGTGACTAAGCAAATGCTAGTTTTGGTCAACATAAATCAAGTTTCAGCGCGGCAGAAATCGAAAGTTTTTCAAAAGAAACGGACAATAATAGATTTGGTAACACAATCGTCTGTTGTGGGGCGCCACTTGCTGAATCAGCTCRAGCGCCATCTAGCGTSATTTACGAGCAACTGTAAACAGCTGTTATGCAGACCGCGTTTTTTATGTAAAGAAACGAAAAACAGAAAATGTTCGGAGCAAAAGCGCGACACTTGGTGCGTAAAACGATTCTGCCGGGCAACTGCAGCTGGTGCCGCTGGAGCAGCAGTAGCAAAGCACCAGAAGCAGCAGCTAAGCCAGATGCAAATGCAGCCCAGCGACAGAAACTAATTCAAGAGCTAGCGGAACCCATCGAGAGCAGAGGCCGGCCGACCATCGATCCCAAGGAGACGAGTGTAGTGCTATTTCCCGGCCAAGGCACACAGTATGTGGGCATGACCAAGGATTTGCTGCGATTCCCCGGCGCCCGACGCATCTTCGAATTGGCCAATGAGGTGCTACAATACGATCTGCTCAAGATTTGTCTCGAGGGGCCACGCGAGAAACTCAACCGAACCGAATTCGCCCAGCTGGCCGTAATGGTGTCTTCACTAGCCGCCCTGGAGCAACTGCGCGAGGAGCGACCTAAAGCAATAGAGAATTGTGTGGCAGCAGCGGGCTTCAGTCTGGGCGAGATCACCGCCCTGGTCTTTGCGGGCGCAATGCCCTTCGACAAGGCACTGCAGCTGGTGCAGATACGCGCCAATGCAATGCAGGCTGCATGCGATCAGGCGCCAGGTGCCATGGCGATGACACTGTACGGCCCGGACACCAATTTGGGCGAAGCGTGCGCCAAAGCATTGCAATGGTGCGTGGACAGCGGCGTGGAGTCGCCCTATTGTGGCGTTGCCAACTACATGTACCCACATTGCAAGGTTGTGGCGGGCAGCGTCCAGGCGTTGGAGTTCCTTGAAAAGCATGCCAAGGCGCTGAAGATACGCCGGATGAAACATTTGGCCGTCAGCGGAGCCTTCCACACACCACTAATGGAGAGCGCCGTGGAGCCGTTTGCCAAGGCGCTGAAGTCGATCCGACTGCAGGATCCCATCATTCGCGTCTATTCCAATGTGGATGGCAAGCCGTACAAGAATGCCTCGCACATCCTACGCCAGCTGCCCAAACAGATTGTCAAACCCGTCAAATGGGAGCAGACGCTGCACGAGCTTTACGAACGACGTCAGGGCGTCGACTTTCCGCGCACCTTTGAATGCGGCCCGGGCAAGGGTCTGCTTCAGGTGCTAGAGAAGGTGAACGCCAAGGCAGCGCAGACGTCATTCAATGTGACCGCTTGATCGATACGTAAAATATAAAGATTGGCTTTCTTTGCTTTATAAAAATTGTATTCTCTTGGCTAAAAGGAAGGAAAAGTGAACAGAAATGCGACACCAGTTGGGGGATGTAGACAAGGCATGGTAGGCAAGCAGGCTCCTAGGCTTTGTAATCTCTGGTGCTCATGCGATGTGCGAAGGCGGCTCCCTTGTTCTTGCGGAATCTCTCAAATGGATCGTTCAGATTGTTGCCCACGCCCTAAAAGCAAAACAAATGGATAAGTCGAACTCCAAGCAATCAACACCTCCTGTCAATCC